GAAAACTAGTATTTGGAGACAAGCTCTAGAGCACCACAGAAGTGGCACTGGGAGAGAAAGCTGGTCAGTGCTTAGGGCCTGGCGTGGAGGGAAGGGACAGCTCCCACCCTGCAGGGCATGTTCCTTTCCACCACTTCCACATCATCCTTCAGATCTTCACCAACAAGTGTTTGAAGCCTGGCTGCAAGCAGAAGGAGATGATGAAGGTGATCTGCGACCAGTGCCACAAGAACTACTGCCTCAAGCACCGGCACCCCCTGGACCATGACTGCAGCGGGACAGGACGTCCCCTCTCCAAAGCAGGGTGAGGGCCTGGGGACAGACGGGCTGGCAGAGACGGCACTGTGCTTACCAGATGGGTGACAGGGAAGAAGCCCAGCTTCTCCTGGCCCCTCCTCTGGGACTGCTGCGTTCTTGCACTCCCTGCTCTGTGCGCTTGGGGTATCCTCCAGCAGCGTTAAGGTTTGTAGAGTCAGCAGAGCTGCGTACACACTCTCCCTCCTGCAGCAAAAGCCACTGGTATTGCCTGGTGGCTGTTTTGCTATTGCTTCTCTGCCCAGCTCCTTATTCTGTAGCTGATGTGTTCTGCCTGTCCTGGCAGTGCTTCAAGGAGAGCAACAGCACTTGGAACCCTTGGGCATAGCTAAGCTGCAGTATGGGTACTCTTGGGAGGAAGAGGAGCGGGGAGCCAGGGAGGCATCTTGCTTATCCAGCTTCATGTCCCTGGGTATTCCGTGCCCAGGGATGGCTCGTGATGGTAAAACAGTTGCTCACAGGCGTCCTCTCTGTCCTAGGCATGCTGCAGTTGTGAGAGCCCAGGCATCCTCTTCCAAAACAGTCACCGCATCAAGCAGTGGAGCCGCCCGGCCAGCAGACAGCCCCTCTTCTCCAGCCCCTGCCAGGTATGGTCACGGCCCAACTCGTAATTCTGAGGTGGGCATGACCAGGCTCAGCTTGGCTCCCCGTGGGACACAGGAACGACAGCTCCGCCGCTACCTGTGCATGGGCAAGGCTACATACCAACCAGGGCTCCCTGCCTTGACAATAACCCTGCTGCTCTCCTGTTCACAGAGGAGGCAGAGCGGCTGCATCGCAGACTCGCAGCACCTCCCCTCCGGCTGTCATGCTGCAGAACGGGCTGGTGAGTGGCATGACCTGGGCATTTTGGGTGGGTTTGGGTGGTTTCTGTGCCCTGGGGAGATACTGCAGCACCTGCTTTGTAACCCACACTCTGTAGGTGACCACGGTGCTCCCCAGCTGGGCCTTCCCTGGCAAATGGAAATCCCAGACACTCAGTGGGGTATCAGAGTTTGCTCTGGTGCCTGTGAATGGCAGCTCTCGGCTGTGCTTGGTGCTCAGCTTTCCCCAGAGGGACAAAGTGCGCTGGCAGTTTTGCCTGGGTGTTGTCTTTCTCTTCTGCAAGCCAAGGGCAGAGGAGGAGGCTGCAAGCTGCTTCCCACTGGTATTCTTAGCGTGCTCTTTGCACTGGCAGGCAGGGCTGTGTTCCCTTGGGCGGGGAAAGAGAGCTGCAAGTCTGTCCTTAGCCCAGGGCCTTCACCTTGGCTGTGTCTGGCTTCGGAGAGGGGAGATGCACCCACCCCTTGGCCAGGCAAGGTTGTGCCTGCCATGTGGCCATCAGGGCTGCCTCCTGCCAACCCTGACCAAGCTGGTGATGAGACGTTTTGTTTCAGAGTGAGGAAGAGGCACTGCAGCGAGCTCTGGAGATGTCCCTGGCAGAGTCAGCACGCAGCTCTGCGCAGCCACCCAGGTACAGCCCGGGGACACGTGGTGTCATGCCCCAAGCCTGCATGTGAGAGGTGCCTGGGGCAGCATCATGTGGCTCTGGGATGACGTTCCTCTCAGCACGTGGCTCCAGATGATGCCTCCGTGTGGCTGGGGGGTTGGGGAGGGGGGGTGGGGGGAAAGGAAGAGTCCAGAGCCATCTCAGAGCTCTATTCAGTGAGCAAGGCATCCGGGGTGCTGGGAGGGGACAGTGACTGACAGCAAAGAGTAGTGCAAACCGTTTTCTGACCACTTGTCAGCTAATGAGCGTGGCTAGAGTGTGACAGAGGTGAAGTAGGGGTGTTCCCAGAGGACACCCGGGAGCACACATCCTCACACACATTACCCGGTGCAGCTCCAAGCACCATCTTACAGACTGGAGTTAACGTGGTTCTCCTTGGCCCAGGGTGCTGGCTGCCAGCCCCAGCTGGATGCTCGGGTCCCTACCCAGCCCCTGGCTTGTTCAGGGTGATCCTCGGTTGCTCCCTGCCCTTCCTTAGCTGTCCTGGAGGGTTGCAGTGATCCTGCTACCCCGAAGGGCTCCGAGCGCTGATGGGCCAGTGAGCCTGGGGGGAGGCTGAGGCACACAATGCACCGCTGTCCCCAGCAGCACGCAGGAGGAGGAGGATCTGGCACTGGCCCAGGCACTGTCAGCGAGCGAAGCCGAATACCAGCAGTCGCAGCGGCAGGTGAGTGAGGCTGGCTGTAGGCTCGGCGCCGTGGTGGGGTTGGTCCCAGCCTGGCTGTGTCACAGTGAAGTCTTTCCTGGGTTCTGCTTCCTCTGGGCTCTGCCCTAGGGTCACTTTTCTCACCAGGAGAGGGCAGTCCAGCCTGGGGCAGTGGTAGTGTCACTGCTGAGCACACAGCCCTGGGGACTCGAGCACTGGATGTGCCCCCTTGTAGGACAGAGGGAGAAGCCTGTCTTCACTTGCTCACTCTGGGCTTCTTCCCGTTTCAGGCGCACGGTTCAAAGCCATCAAACTGCAGCATGTCGTAGGCAGGCGAGGCAGGCTGTGCCAGTGGACACGGGATCCCGCTTGTGACCTGAGGAGCAGCTCTGGCTTCCCACATGGATGCCCGTGGGGTTCTGGCCTGGACACTGACAACAAGAGCCCCTCGCCAGGGACAACTCATCTCCCTGGGGGCTGTAAGTGAGTCACCAAACACACACCGACACCTCAGCCCTAGTACCCGTATAAAATCGCTGCAGCAAATTGCTGATGCTCCTGGAGAGGTGAAGATGGTGTGGGACGAGGCTGAGCACACACTGACCAAAGCAAACAGGAGCCCCATGGCGTGCACTTAGCCACAGCTGCTGCCGCCGTGTCCCAGCGCTGCTGGGACTGTGGGGTGAGGGCAGAGCTGCCCTGGAGGGGAAGTGCCATGTGGTGACATCTCTGCATGCTCGGACATACAGCTGGGACACGGCTGCCTGCCACAGTAGCTGGGGGAGACTGGATTTCACACTGCAGGGAGGGACATGCCAGCCCCTCGGGCAAAGAGCAACTGTGGCTGGGATGGTGTCTCACTTGGGCATGGCACAGCCGAATATATGTGGCCTCC